TGGGGTTACAGGGGGTGTGTGAGAGCATGACTAAATTTTCTCTCTCGTACACATTGAACTGAAGCCGTCAGACAAATTTGGTTCTCAGTGTATAGTGAGCTTTGACAATACGAATTAAGTAAAATGTGTTTCTGAAAGACGGGTAATTATTTCAAAGTTCATGGAATAACATACAGGTTTCATCACGTCGTGATCGAAATTTTTTGCAGGGAGTTGATTACTTGCCTGATGAAGTCGCAAGAATTAATTTAACGTCAATTCATGCATTTTCCCTTTTTCTCTTAAACAATATTCCAACCCCTAATGGAGTAGCAAGATAGATACAGATCCTAAAATGTTCCATTGCCAAGATACAGTACTATGGTTTTCAAAGTTAGAATGAATGTAAATTTACGTGGATTTTCAGGACTCATCAAACCAGTTTTCCTCCAAAAGGGGTAATCTCTCAAAAATTTCATAAGAGAACAGTTCATGTGAAATTAAATACCACCAAAGACACAAAAATCATTTCAGAAAGATCTGTGACGTAGGGGATATTCTACAGAAAGATCTGTGACGCAGGGGATATTTTATTTCTTCTGAAGGTGTCGAATTATACCAATTTCTATGCCGGCAGGATTGGGGATTGACAATTTTTTGACGTTACCATATTTGTTCGCTCCCAACCTCGGTAAGTCTACGCACATATTAGAAATATATACATATACATTTGCCCTTAAAACTTATAATGATAGATAAATGTTTCGATACGCGTCCCTGCTTTTGCTCTAGGGGTTCACCGTCGGGTGTGCCGGTCTTCATAAGTGTACTGGCTTTACTGCCGCTGTACCGCGCTGTCGCGTCGTCTGGTACAGGTATCAGGGAGAGGTGACGTTGCCAGATCGCTCAACAGTACTACCAGTAGGACAGGGAGTAATCGTATAGGCCTGCTTAATTTGTCTGTTACCTATGTTCATAACTAGCATTTTACTTGTGCTGAACTGATTACGGTGTTGCGTGGGAGAGTCAACCTATTCGACGTCATTTTTGTTTATAAAATTGTAACTTCATCATCCCGTATTTTTGTAACAGGGCATTTTAAGAACCATGTTTATAGGAACTTTCCGTTTACTTTTGGATGTGCTTTATACCTTAAAAATATTAGGAAGTATAGTACCTCGAACCCATTACTTCAAGTACCAATAATATAATTTATTATTTACACGCTTATGGGAAGAAGAATCTTTTTTATGGTATGGTTCTTGTGAATGCCAGCATTGTTGCTAGTAATTAACATCAACAATGCCATTGAAAAAATGGCAATGGATGACTACATACCATTGTTTCATTTTATTAAGTTTTCGCGTTTTTATTAGTATGGGAACAGCATCGTTGAAAACGGCGGAAATAGCACCCGAATAGGGCAAACACAACGAGTTTGATGTACAGGAATTTTTTTCAATGTCAGATTACGTCAGATAGGTAAACTGAATGACGGAAGTTAAGCTATGTGAATACATTTTATTGTGTAATTTTCTAATAATATTATGTCATAATAAGGTAGTTTCCTACTTAGTTGTTTTATCACCTTATAGTAGGGCTACGACAAAAATGGAAAAACATGAACCAATAACTATGCTTAAAAATTATTGAAATTCTAGCTTCTTGGTAGGTTGCTACGAAAAGTTCCTATATAATGCAAGAATATTTCAAATTTGTATACCGCTGAACCACTGATGTCTAACATCAATAAATTGAAGGTGTTTTCAATGCAGAACAGACCTTAGTTTTCATAAGGAAATGATGTCAAGTACATTGATTCAGCCTTATCTCAAATATACATGATATTTTCTCCATCGTGAGCAATCTGGCAAACTGAAGGGAGATAGTGTCCCAGTTTTTCCCCCTGCAAGTTTATTCTCTAAATAATGTTTATGCCGTGTATCTGATTCGTATTCACAAAGTAATCCGTGATGAAACAGCTAAAAAGCAAAGTAAAATCAAAAAAGCAATAATATTGAGCCAAATAGTACAATAGTACGATATCGATATATATCTCAAAATATAGCTAGAGTTGAAGGAATATAACGAGATCGAGGATGAAACTTTGGTATCCTGTATCTCATAAACGAGTGAGATTTTACTGAAAGTGTATTTGACTCAATTCATGGGTTAAAGTTTATTATGAGTTTTTGGCCTATATCGCTTTTTCGCTTTATTCATTTTGAGGTTTTTTGGTTTGCACACATTCTAGATTTGAAATTACCAATACTTAAAATTGAATTAAATTTATTCGTAAGATAATAATAATAATAATAATAATAATAATAAATGGGCTTTATTTCGTACTTAAGTAAAAGTACAAAAAAGGCGAAGTGTCGCTAAGATTAGCGTTTTTCAACTTAACCTAAATTGCTGTTCACCCAGGAGTCGCCTGATCGCCCGAATATTTAGCCAACTGTGGGCACAATTTAGAGTAATCAAAAAATATATAATATATATATATATATACGTATATGGGTGGTTATCTGAAATTTGGTTAACTTCTGATGTAATTTTGAAGGTGGTGTTTTTAGTTAAAAATCAGAACAGCTTATATTCTATGCTGTAGGTATAACATCTACTTTGCTGCATCTAAAAGGGCCAGTCACTTTACTTGATATTTTCAGAGAAATTTATGATTTTTTAAAATCAGTGTGCTAGGGACTGACGACAAGTGATAGGGACTGACACCAAACACGGTTATTATGTCAAATCACATTTTTTATTGCAAAATCAACCATAACAACAAAATAATCTCTTAAGTTCACAAATTCTATGATTTATAATCACAGTACAGGATTTATTTTTTTAATTATACACTTTAAAATAATCTATCAATATTTCTCAACAATCAAATTATACTTTGAGTTTAATACTTACAAACTAATAGTCCTTTAAAAATTAACAATTATTTTAAATAATCAGCTTTCTAAAGTTTTGAGTTACCAAATTATAATTTGAACACAACATTCAGACTTTCATTAATTATTATGAGATCACAAATATTTCACACTTAAACTATCTAGTACCTCTTATTTATTTGTTTCACTATTTGTTTTACTTCTCGTAAACATTAATGGGTTTTTTAAATTTGTGAAGGACTGTATTTCTCTTGACGATTATATTAGGAACTGGCAGTTTTTCAATAACGTCTTCGTAAGGTACGTCGGCGATATCATTATCATTTATTTTAAATTCTGTGCCATCTTTATTGCAAACTTTAAGAAATGTAACTGTCAGTTCTCCATCTTCGTCATCATATTTTGATCTAACTGCGGCGTATCGGTATTCTTTTCCCCTCATTATTAACTTAACTAGAACATAATCGCCACCGCCGTAGCTCGTTTTTGACTTTTCTTGTGCAATGTGGCTCATACTTGCTAACGGCATATCATCTTCAGAATCTGTGAAAATATCTGAAACTTGAAGCCGCTGTGTATTGGTTTGGTACGTAATAGTCCCCAACCTATAATGGACACAACCGTCATTATTACAGAAGCAACCTAGTGACTTCAAGACAAGTTTATTAAGGTTATAAATATGACCCGAGACTTGATGCACCAAGAGAGTTCCTTTAAACGGTTTCTGCTCTTTCTCATGTTCCTTGATCATTTTGTTAACTTTTTCTATGTCGACATCTTCGATAACAGAGATATTTATATTTGGACACCTTTCTCGAAGCACAGCTACAAAGTCGTAAAAGTTCGTAATGTCACCTCTCTGAGCTATGAGTTGGTCTGCAGAGCGTTTGCATGTAGCTCCAATTCCATCAGGTGCCCCTTTACCATGTCCCGCCTCATGGAAATTCCACGTATATTTTGTAGCCAGTGGATAGAAATCTTGGATTCTTCAACCCAAAATATAAAACATTGTTTTATTTCTATATTGGGTTACAGGACCGTCACTCAAAAAACGCAGGTTTTCTACAGAGGATGGCAATCCTAAGAGGATAGGCTGTAAATGTGCCCAAATGGCTCCAGCGTTGTGAGATACATTTAAAGACACAGTGCAATGGGATGTTACTTTATCCTTTGTGTAAACCACCACTATATGCAAAGAAATTTGAGTCCTGGAGCCGCCAAAATGATACGACTGAATTTCTTGGTTGCATTTAGTTGTGTAGTTTTCTGAGAAGTCCATGTGAATTACTGCATCCTTTTCTGTAAGTGACTCTTTCAAAGATTTAATAGTTTTATATTGATGAACGATGTTCTGTTCATGTTGGAATAATTTTGGAAGATCACTCTCTTCTAATTGCATAACTAAATCACGAGGTTTTGAATTGCATATCTCTTTCTTATACTTTGTGACGTATCTATCCTGTTTAGTTTTAATGTCCTTAATCAATTCCTTGCTATGCTTCCATTGTTTGACTGCCATGTCCTTACTATTATCGAACTCCTTATATGGTAAAATCTTCAATGAGCAGTCCTGGCAAGTTCTCGCTAAGCATTTTTCCGAGTAACGATCACAGCAAATTGTTTCCAGTGCAGTTTGATATGTGGTAAAGTCAAGAACGTTTGCATTTTTTAAGGCACCTAACTTCAAATTGATGTTTTCATGAATAACACAAGCACAGGTATCACGGTCTGTAAGCTTAGGCACAACAACCCAAAATGGACGCAAATTGCAAAAATAATTATACCCAATTTTCATCTAACTTGTATTGTGAAATTTTTGATGCAAGTTCTTCAAGGAATCCAGCAAATATCTTTTTTGTTTTTTAATTTTTTTGCGAGTGATGCACTCTTTTTTCCCTGCCGCACAACGACTATTATTGTCATCGTCATAAAACTTGTGTATGATTTCTTCAACTCTCTTTTTTTTTCGCATAGCTTCATGTTTTGTACGATTAAATCCCATCTTTTTATATGTAATGGCTGTGTTTCCAAGTCTCCATATTTTATATTTATGTGTCACTGGACTTGACAAAATCGTTTTTAAGCAGGTTTTTGTTTTGGGTGTCTGAATCTCTTTATCTAAAATTTGCCTTTGAATAATATCGCCAAATAACGCTTTTTTATCAATTCTGCTTTTTGATTAGGGTCGTTGGCCATTTCTACAATTTTACTTTCTGGTGTCAGTGCTTGCTTCTTTTGTATCATTCTATGTTTCAGTCTTCTGTTTCTTTGTTGTTCGCTGGCAAGTTTCTTCTTTAAATTTTCAATGAGTAAGTCCTTCCTCTTCAACATACTATTTCTTTTTCTCCGTTAAACTATACTCCTCCTTCTAGCTTCAGCTTCTCTTTCATTATTTAATAAAGGAGCCTCAGGAATAATTTCATCTTCCGATGATGGCGACGTATTTTGGTCCACGTATTTATCTGTATTGTCACGAATCTTTTGTTTTTTCTATAATCAGATGAATAGGCTACCCAATTTTTTCTTGCCTCTCTGTGCTCACGGGGAGTCATATCTTTTACACACTTCCATTGTCCTTTTTCCTTTTTCTTTAGATATTTTAGTCGTTCCTTTTCTTTGTACTCCGCCAGCAAAACAGGATCATTTTTAATTTTTTCCAATCGCCTCTTCGCCTGTTCAGGCTTTTTTTGCAATTTCCTCTTTAGACAATGTTTTTTTCTTTATAGTCGCCATATTCTACAACAAATACATTGGTATTATGATTAAAACTATGCATCACACAGTATGATCATCAGTCCCTAGATGTGGCATCAGGCCCTAGTCACTATTACGACTAGGGCCTGACGGTCTAGGGACTGACGAAACGAAGCAAAATCAAATGAAAGCTATTATTTTAAATCACTATAAAATCAATAGGCGGTCAAAATAACAAAGCAGACCTAGCTCATACATTCAATAAGTAATGAGATCAATGAGTAATTATATATGTTTAAAACGACTTACCTAGGGTCTGAGAGTTTGTCTGGCACAGCATGTGTTTCCGCAGCAAAGTCGGTTACCACACTAATAGCAAAATTGCTGCCGCGGCGTGGCTCGTGTTTGCAACCAACTACACACCGATGCTACCGTATTGAGTGAGTTATGAATAAGTCATATGTTTGGATGCCGCGTATTTTTGAATTTCGTAAATGACTAGGGCCTGATATTTTTTATTGCTTACAGTTTTTGACTTGAAATAATGTGATCAAACAAAATTATTTTATACATTAAATCGTAATGACAATGTAAGCAATGTAATAGTAAACAAATTTAAATAGAGTTTCATCAAATTATTATTTAATACAATAAGATTAGAGTGACGTGAATACTAAATTTGGGAGATCTTACATGGCTAGGGCCTGATATTTGGAGTAAAAAATGTCAATTTATTGAAATAAAGAATATTATGATATTTATCAAAATTGGTGACCGAACTAAATATACTATAAAATATCGCTTAGTAGTTTCAGATATAGGATATATATTTTTTAATATTGTGAAAATTCATGCTAACACCAAGTTAACCAAATTTCAGATAACCACCCATATATATATATATATAAACATATATAGATGCAGTACAGTGCTTTTTATGAATTTATCTTACCATATTTTTATCTTCATTTTTATTCAAACTTGTTGTAATCATTATGCCATTCCTTTCTCTATTTTGACTTGACATTTAAACATTGTGTTATTGTACTTGGCCTAATAAAATACTACTACTATCACATAAAATGAATTTTCATAGTCAGGTGCAAAGTAAGTTTAGAAAAAGACATACGAGTATAGTTGTAATCACCGTTCTTGGCGGTTACGTCATCAACGCCATATGAAATAAGTAAACAGATCCAGTCTCGGTACCATGGGCGGAACAATGCGCACACTCCAGTACGCATGAAGTGGGTAACAGGGAACCGCTGTTTTCATTCTCTTCCTGGAAATTTAGCACGAGCTGTCGGCCTTCTCCATTGATCGTATTTCCGGCCATTGTACAATGTTATATTGAAGATTGATAACAGGACAACTCAAATTGCACGCCGATATTAAATAAGTTGTCACTCTGACAAATATGATTGACGTAACGACAACGTTTTCGAGATGGAGACACACAACTAAAAAATGTATGTCCTTGAGCTTACCGAACAAACGTTCACACACAGGGGTAGGTTGCATGTGTATGTATGAGGGAGATGGAGATAGATAAAGGGATACTGGTACTCTTGTTTTGACCCACCAAGAACGGTGACTACAACTATACAAACAGGATAGTGTAAATCACATTAATTTTCTCAGAAACGCCACCTTGAAATTTAAATCCCACGAGCGACGCTCGAATGCCTTCCATTTATCTACATACATGAGGATTGTAACAATTTATACGATTTGTACCTCGGTTCATTGAAGACTTGTGTGTTTATCTGCCTTGATCTGGCGTCTATGAGTGGATGACTCAGGTAGAAGATTCACCGATTCAAGGTTCCAATTTTGACGCATATAACAAGTGTCAACGGTTTCCGTTTACATATTAATTGTTTCGAGACAAATATGCGATGCATAATGGAGATTCGTCTAAACTCCAAAGTGAATGGCGCCAAGTAGATTGCTTTGAAACAATAATTTTGCGGGTTTTAAAATAGACAACTTTTAATGCCCGAATTCCCTACCAGTTGTAAGTAAAAAAATTGTTGGAGATGTCATAATTAAAACATGTTTTTGTAATAAAACGGATCTGCTGTCAAATATTTTCGTAATTTTTACATTGACGTTTTAGGGCACAATCAAAGAAATAAAGGGTAATCACGACCTGAATCTCCACGATTTTCAAGTTATTCGCTTCCTTGTAGCTAATTCCTATCTATAAAAACGTTAGATTTTTGATGAAGGTCCTCAGCGATTTTAAAACTTTGAGAATTTATATGAGGAATCTAACTGCAAAACAGGCAGTCTCTAATGATCTGAAATCTACATAATCAGCCAGTCGCAGTCTAGAAAAGTTTAATTAAAAACTTTGTTTTGAAAAATGAGTTTTGCTTTTGAAGCTTAGAAGATTTGGGAAAATGTAAGCTAAGCTAAGAAGATCACAAGTTTTGGTCTAATGCGCGGCATTATCACATGGCCGAAGAAGGGATGTTAGGGAGACTTTGTTTTGTAAAAAGATTGGTTCTTCACCAATCATTTTGAATAGAATATTACTGTTAGTACATATCAAAAATATTGAAGCGTATGTTTTGTAGTAGAGAGGAAAGAACCGTTGTTAGCTGAACCTAAATTTGTGAAATTTGCAGGTTGCAATTGGCGAGGAAGTATTGTAATCGAAAAAAGTTCGAAAATGAGATATTATCCTTTTTGACTTGTACATGTCATTAATTTCCGCCAGTCTGTCTCTCCGATAATCCTTGACCCGTTACAACTCGGAATATGCATGCTCTGTAGATTTTGAAAGTAGATTCAGTGGCGGCGGAGCCACGGGTGAAAAATGGAAAAAACCTTTTTTTACGTTTTAGATTTTCCTGCTTTTTTTCAGAAATATTTTATATGGGTTGAAGATTAGGGATGTGGGGTTACAGGGGGTGTGTGAGAGCATGACTCAATTTTCTAGATTTAATATATTTATGCTTCTAACCCCGGTAATTGTACGGACCTATACGTATTCCACACAGATTTAACACAAATATTTCCCTTTAAGACTTCGAATGATATGGTTCTTTTTACGGTGTTTGCCATACGAAATAAGTAAATTGCAAACTGCCCAAGCAGATCCGTGACGCAGCTGCTACTGGCTCTTGCACACACATATACCCATGAAATGGGTGATAGAGTTGTTATCACTGTCTTTCTGAAAATACTTCTAATACAAACTATCGACATTGTAATTGTATCTTCAGGCACTAACAATGTTTTATATCAAAGATCAACATGGGTGAATTGTGTTCTATTTGACTGACTTGATATATTCTCAAATGTCTGTGTTGTACGTGTTCCTGGGCAACTTCTTTCTAAAAGGATCTAACATAACGAACATAATCTTTTATGAACTGATGCGTTGAGTAGGAAATACAGAGTCAACATACTTGAAATTTTTTAATAAGAATGGCATTGTCAGTCGTTAAAAAGATACATACATACAAGATCTATCCATGTATGTAGGGACTGGTACCAACCGAAACCGAAGCGGTGTAGTGGCAGGGCAGATGTGCAGACCGTTGGCGCGTGACCCTCTTTTGACGCTCCGCGGCGCCCTCTACGCCCTACGCCAGTGGCGTACTAGCATATTATTTCAAACTTCGCTATTACGAGAATTGAATACAAATTAATATTTAAAGCACCATAACTAAAAAATATCATTATATTATAGTCCTATATGATAGAAATCCGCTGCCACATGAAACCTCATCACGGCGTGCTATATACCGCGACGTTCAAACTGTTGCTGCAGCATCCTGTATAGCTGTGAAAACAAATGAACACTCACCTAGAAGACAGAGAAATATAGAATATATTGTCATTGCCATTTTAAATAATAACCGAGGTGGCCGAAACGTCAGTAAAGACTAAAGAATCATTCCTAGACATCTGGTTTCATTTAGCGGCCAAAAACACATGCAGTTTTATGCGTATGTAATCAAAATGATGAGTTTCAGATGATAGATTAATACCGCATCGTCAGTTCTTCCTACAAATGTAGGACGCCTTTATGGCCTCCTTGATTTTCATAGTATTTTCTCTACTTCAGAAAGGATGGGGTATTTCTAAATTTCTACTGTTCCGTGTCAGCGTTAGCGGTCTAATATTGTCAGGATCTGCTTTAGGGAATTTCAGGCTGATGTAACAGATGATATGAATCAAAAGCATGTACAATTTGATGCAAATAGATATTTGTAACATAACCTCAAAATAAAGTGTTGACACGGAACAGCAGAGGATTCCCGACAGAAATCTTTATAATCCCATGCAACACAAAGCAAGCCTCTATCAAGACAAAATTACATTTTAATAGTTGAAATAGATTGTATATACTTTATACATAATATCCATTATTCGGGGACAATGCAGCCTATCCTCGTTTTTTCACCCATGTGTACTTGAAATTTGTACATTGAAAGAAATAATATACGTGATAGGTTTCCATTTTTAAACAAATAACAACAATGTCAAACTGTCAATATGGGAGAATAAAGATTATTTTCCTCACATCTGAGGTAAGCCTAGCCTCACAGGACAGGATCTAGAAGAACTTATTACGTCAGTTGCGTGAGTTTTGTTTTCGAGTTTTGAAGGGCGCGATGCTT